ATAAACAATAGAATAATAGAAAAATAAATATTCCTTAAGCGTTTTAATTTTGAATTACATTTTCATAGTATTTTTAATGACTTAATCCTAAATTTTAATTACAACTAGATACAGATATGTCTTTCTTCATATTGTCAAAAATAATTTTAAAAGAACAAAACAATGACTATTTTTATAAATTTTTAACTATACTTGGGAAACTCATTATTTAAATAAATGCAATTGGAGTTCTTCTATAAAACAGATATTTTTGTACTGTAATATAAATAACTGGAGCTCTGGTGGCGTAGTGCCTAAAGCATTTGACTGCTAACCAGAAGGTTGGTGGTTCAAACCCACCAGCCACTCCTCAGAAGGAAGGTTAGGCAATCTACTTCCGTAGTGATACCACCTCGGAAACCGAAGGAGGGGTCGCAATGAGTCGGATCCGACTCGATGGCAGTGAGTGATGGTGGTGGAATATAAATAACTGCTCCTTGATTTATCTGTACTGTAAATTCCTTTATCAGCATATTAGTTTTTTCTATAAATGTGTGTGTCTCAGTCTTTTGCAAACATTCACTCAAGATCTGCGATTCATTTTTCTTAGTCACTTTTTCCAGTTAAAGCATGTTTTTATTTATTCCCTAAAAAAGTTGTTGAAATTATCTGAAAAGTTTGATTGCTTTAGCTATTTCTCCAATATCCAGAAAATAGGGCCTACAGACTTATCAAATTCCCTCCTTTTAAGATTCTTTTTTAAAAACAAAGTTCTGCATGACTCCTGGGTACTTTAAAATGTTCTAATGTTTTTGAATAATGCACGTCTTTTTTTCTGCAACTTCGCGTGATTTCTGAATGTCTTCATAGAAGTCCCTCAAAAGTAGTTACAACTATTGTGAAAATGTCAGTTCTACCCAAAGCAATCTATACATTCAATGCAATCCCAATCCAGATCCCATCAACATTCTTTAGGGATATGGAAAAAAATGATCACTAACTTTATATGGAAAGGAAAGAGACCTCGGATAAGCAAAGCACTACTGAAGAAGAAAAACAAA